TCAGAAAATGCCAACTCCCAGAGGCCCCAAAGCTCTCTCTCTTCCCCTCTCCACAGCACTCATAGTTGATGCTATGTGGAGATGTGAAGAAACAACTTGTCTGAATTTGTAAGACAAATTCCCTAGACAACCAGACTTGAGAGGAATGACCGGTGTCTAAGAACTTAGAGACCTCAGACGACAACAAAGGGATAATCCCGCGGGGCGGGGGGGCGGGGGGGGGGAGATCAATCAATTAATTAAATGAATGCGACAGGTAGGGTATGAACTGACGTCAAAGAAGATGTCTGCTGTCTAATGCGAATCTTGCCTGTCACTGTTGTTGCTAATGCGGCAACATGAAATCTCGCAATGGAGAGTGACTAACACAATTCTGTGCTTTTTCAGTCTCCAGTGGAAAGGCTGGCAGACAGAATGCATTTTGAATGAGTTGTGGTGCTGTATGAGAGGGGTGTTTAGCAGTCTCCTAGGTAAGAACTGAAGAGGCCAGGGAGCCTAGCAACACCCAGGGCTGAGATATCGTTCCCTATTTAAACAGGTTGTAAAATACCTTTCAAGCCCTTCTTCCCCATCGGGATTACTTGCAAGGCTTGGTCCCTGATAATGGTTGTCAAACTCGGGCGGAGTCAGCATTAGCTGGTGGGTTACTGGCTGCAGGGCTCCATCAGAGTGTTGGCTTCAGTATGTCTGGGGTGAGGGCCAAGCGTCTGCAGGTTGAACAGTTCCCAAGGGATACAGGTACTGTGGCCACTGACCACACTTGGACAGCTCTGTGGTTGTGTTGGTTTGTTGAGTTTTACAGGAGTCCAAACACCAGGCGTTAGAAATGAAGAAGGGTAACATTCCTCTGGGATCTAATGGAAAAATTAGACTGTAGACTAGAGTCTCAATATTAAGAAATAAACTATTTAAGATGTCCTAAACTAGGAAGGCAGAATCCAGTCAGGCTTAATTTAACTCTAAGTGGGGGATTCCTTCTTTAGGTACCAAAGAAGAAAAGATACAGGTGATGGTTAGTGACAGCTTTTCTTCCATCCTGCGCACCCAGGGAGGGCATCTGAGTCTTTGTGACTTCACATGTGTGGTTTTCTGTTTCAATCAGTGTTTTATTTATTGACCAATCAGAGCAATTTGACATACAGACTATGCCACAGCACAGCTTGGCAAAGCCACTACCTGAAGGGATCAAGGAATTCCTTTAGAGGAAGCCAAATTCCAAGGAGCTTTTGGTGTTATTTGGCTTGTTATATGAAAATCATGTGTGCCTTCATAGTTTTCCCAATTGATTTTTCCCTAAGAAGTACTAACAGTGTGGACTGATCGCTCTCTGGACATACACATTCCAGGTATTTGGAGAACAGCCTGAGGAAAGGCTTCCTTCCTCCAGCCCATCAGTTACTCCCCTTTCAGCACTGGAATCTGTTATCTCCCTTAGCCACTTTCAAGGACTAACAGTAATAACAGTCCACATACAAGTCTCCTGACTTAAGGTAAATTCCACCAGGAGACACCACCTAGGTCAGGTGGACATTAAGTAATAGCTTTACACAATTTAGCTCGGACCCTCCTTTCTTACAGCCTTACTAACTTTATAGACCTCTAACTTCTTACCTAACCACTTCTTGGAATATAGACTGAGCACACAGGTCCCCTTTTTGATATGCTAACCGGTCATTAGCACTCAGTTGACCTCCTCTTTCACCCCTCCCATTTTGGATTGTAAAAGAAAGCCTGACATCACTGCCTGAGGAAAATTCTTACCTGCCTTTATGACCCCATAGAATTCAAGCCTGGTGACCTTGCTCAGCCAGAGGATTGCTATTGCTTGGGTTTATAACTGGATTCCAGGGAGACTTAGGGAGAACGGAGAGAATAAGGAGACAGAGAAGAGAAAAGAGAATGGAAGAACTAGATGGGTAAGAACTTGAGAAGAACAAACTGAGATGGGGAAGAAGTAGATTGAAGGGCTAGAAAAGAGTACTAGAGGAACGAGATGGAAGATGAGGAAGAGCCAGATGGGGAAGAACAAGATGAGGAAGACCCAGATGAGAGAGAAGGAGATGGGAGAGGAGCTGATATGGGAAAGAACTAGATGGATGAGGGGCAGAACTAAGATGAAGGAATTTAGATAGAACCTGGAGGGGACAGCAGATAAATGTAGAGAGAAATCAGGCAAGAAAAGAGCTAAAAATGAGAGCAGAGTATAAGCTTGTAGAGAGAGAACTGACACAGGATAATAAAGTGTATGGACTAAGGAGTTTCGCGTACATAGATTAATTTCTTTTTATCAAAGATTAATTATCAGCTGGTTGTAGATTCTTCCTGGACCCTGGGAGGGGACTATCGAGGGGCTGGGCCCGCTTAGTCTCCATTAAGATCAGACCAGTGAGCTGAAATAAGTTGCCAGTTCACAGATAAATCAATCTTTCAGTCTATCACTATCTATCTATCTATCTATCTATCTATCTATCTATCTATCTATCTATCTATCTATCTATCTATCATTGATCTATCTAATACCATCTATCTATCTA